TCTTGAAGAGGTGGTCTATGAATGAACTATGACAGCAATATAGTCCACGATGAGCAGCGCTAAAATCAACCTGCGTAGTTGTCCCTCCATTGTGACATTAGAAAGTGTCACATTTATCTTGCAAGTGTACTCTTCTTCAACGTTTGCTTTACTTCCTGGATTTTTCCCACATGGAAATTCTGACCAATCAAGAGCAGCTTTCTCACACAAGGCATTTGATCTGGTCCTCTTGTAAATGCTGCCGTGAGAACACGAACAAACTCTAGGCAATTATACAACTTTGGAACAACATGAGTCCCTGATTCAGACCAGAGGAGACCACTCTAGGGCTGAGAGCAGCCTGAGATTTATTTATTTCAGATCAGTGCTGCACTGCTACAACAGTGTGATCTGAAACCATGACTTACTTCAAAGTGCTTATTCAGTGGAATACAGTGTTGTTTGAAAGGATCGTATTATTTCAGTTGAAAAAGTGCAGTTACTCTGATATAACTTTGACTACATACTGTCCAACAACCTCTGGTTAATGTGGCAGCAGTTGCACTTTCCAGGAGTTCAAGTTTACTTGCTTCCGCTGGTTCATATCAGGTCCTGTATGCATGAAACTATTGCTCCCTGCCACAGTAGGAAATATGACTGGTCACCTAAAACGCACATTAATTACACGTTAAACACACATTGAACACACATTAAACATGGCTTAATAGAGACAATTTCAAACACAAGTACACAAATCAACTTCACTATAACTTGCAGCATTCACAAACACTTGCCTTTATCTGGACACATTTCCCCCACAAATACAACATGCTAACGTTATTAGTAGTGATGGCCAAATGAAGCCTCATGAAGCATTGTCTTTATTTTCTGAGCCCACTAGATGGCGCTCATGGTTTAAAGAGAGAGGCTCAAAGAATGGCAATTCAGTGTGCTTTCAACCTTTTCTTGGACAAAAAGCGCCATCTAGTGGGCTCATAAAATAAAGAAAATACTTCATGAGGCTTCATTTGGCCATCACTAGTTATTAGCACAAGCCTATGGCATTTTACATTGTATAAATTAGCCTAGCAGCTAGCAGAGTTTTCCTCTACTCATGAATTCAAGAACAACATGTAACAAAGGTAACGGCACATAATTCAGCTCCATTACAACTCACAAGGTTCACTGACAAAACAACTGTCTGATACTAAACATGTTTTCCAAACAAATACAACATGCTAACGTTATTAGCACAAGCCTATGGCATTTTAAATAGAATAAATTAGCCTAGCAGCGAACCTGTTTTTTCTGCCAGGATAAATCAAACACAGGACTTGCAGTGCAGGTCTGCAGTCAGTTTCCACCAGTTTAGCAGCGCTGTAGTTAACATCTTTGGACATCTTTGGATCTGTTTCATCCACGTCTGTAGCAATTCTCACACTTCAAAACAGTGATTTGCCGGCTTTGGTGATGTGGTTGCCTGCTGACATCAATCTGATTAGCTGCTCCTGTGTGCTCAGCTCGGAGGTGGTAGCTTAAAGTGCTTCAGTGAAATTTCAGTTCAGTTTGAGACAAGGTGCACATTATTTTAAACTTGAGCCATCTGAGAGTTTTTTAATGTGCAAGGAGGAGTTCAAAAGTGCAGTCATGTCTCATTTTCCATCACTGCGGCAGCAGGAAGTCGCTTTTTATCAGCTGAAGAGCGACTTTTTGTAATAGTTTTTAATGAGAATGAAGCTTTTTGCTCGCTGTTTTCGTGCCTCATGTTCCTGCGCTCTAGGCACCTGGTGTTTTTGTCGGAGCGCTTTGAACTCCTCGAGTTAGAAAAACTTCAACTTGAGGGGAAAAGTGCCCCATGTCATCTCCGCTTTGTTCCCATTGTCCAATCAGATGATTTGAGAGGCGGGGCTTCTGTGGTGGTCACGACAACAAGTTTAAAGATGGTAAACAATGGAGGAGAAACTGGTGGTAGCGGTTGCTGGATACCCAGAGCTATACGGCCTGATGACAGACAGCAGGTTGTCAAACTGCCCCTGAGTCATCCTAAAATCTGCCTGTAAACGTCCATGATGGAGGAGAAGCTCCTGGACCAACTGGTGGTACTCCCCATGATCCAGCCTCTTTTTTAGGGTCTCATGTACCCACACAGATCTCTGTTTATCTGCTGACAGCCTCTCACCCTCAACCAGAGCTACAGACAGCACCCTCTGCCTCAACATGGCAGCAGCTACACACTGATTACTGTGAAATAACTAAAATAAAAAATTTGATAATAATAAACTGTAGATTGATCACACAGGAAGGTCAGGGTAAAGAGTTGATGGCATGGTTGCTTGGCAACAATAAAATTGTGCAGTAGGCATTTCAAAAAGTACCTCCTGGTTTGGACCCTGCAGGACCCTCTGTGTGTGATCGGGGCCCAAGGGTGCGTCAGGAATAACGTGTTAACTCGACAGCTGTACTTCACAGTCTCCAAACAGAAGTCACAACACTTTATAATGTGAGGTCTCGTCTTTATTATTATCTCAACATCTCAAAATCAATTTCATTCAGATTTTTTTTTTTTACATACTCAATAATGATAAAAGCAAAAAAAGAGAAAAAAGATTCTATCAGTATAAAAGGATGATTAAAGCGCTCTGTTAGAAAGACACTGCAGATTCTGAATCATCACACATGTAAACGTGAAATCTCTATCGGCACAAACAACCAAATATTCTTCAGAGAATTTCATAAAAATATTTAAGGCTTCTCTGCTTAAAGGTGAACAGGAGATGAACAGTGCTGTGTGTCTTTAATACCACTGTGATCTGACGTGTTAGCCTGGGAGGAAAACTCAGACTTCAGATGGATGTCATCTGTTTGTGAGGTTTGATTTATTTCTTGAGCTTTTTTGTAATGAAATGTTAAAATTTTTATTTTCAGTGTACAGAAATCAGCACGGGCTGATTCAGTCAGTGAGTTAATAAGAACATACATGATAGACACAAGACCTGAACCTGCTTTCAGTCAAAGGTGTGCATAATTATTGTTATTTATATTAAGAGAGTTTGAGAACTGAATGTACCAGGATCTGACTACACAATATCTGAGACAGTCACTGTGTCACATTATTCAATGACTGCTTCTCCTGTTCACATTCACACTCAATACACGGACCAGTATCTTCGAACCACGTCACTAAACTCAATGAAAGTAGTTTGGTTAAGATTTGGGGGAAAAAACTGTGGTCATGGCTAAAATGCTCCGACACCACTGTAGTGTTTTAAAAGATTAAAGTCTGTCACATGGTTCCTGACATTAGTGCTGAAGTACCAGTATCTGTAGCTGTGTCCCAGTTCAGGGGTGTCACCTTTTGAATTCTGAATCTTAAGAATGAATACGTTAGCACTGTTCATTTTTCAAGAAAATCGAATAAGAACTAATGAGTTTGAACTCGACCCAAGCGGCTTAATCCTCAGCTTCACTGTGGAATTGATGTTCTTTTCATTCACATAGGTTCCTGTGCTGCCTCACAAAGCCCTGTTTCCACCACGCAGTCCAGTCTAGTTCAGTTCAGTTCAGTTCAGTTCAGTTGTCCGTTCCCACAGTGAAAAGTTGTGGATGGTAACAACAGAAGCGTTCCTTAGCGTCCCCATGTTTGGTCCCCCCTCTGTTGGGGTACCTAGCACACAGATCTGGTACTAAAAGGTGGAGCTAGAAACCCTGCAGTCTGATTGGTCAGTAGAGGACGCTCACTCTGGTTTTATGTAACCTCTGTTCATACATCAGTAAACTACAACTATAAAATGAAAGAGAAAAAAATAACTTCATTCACTGGGCCGACTGCCGGCAACTTTTAAGGTGGAACGTTAACTTGTAATGTTACTCAATGCATGAGTTGATGACGTGAATCCATCAGCACACCTTAAATTTCACTGTGACAACTTTGAGCATCACTTTAGTTTTTATATGACACACACTTTTAGTAATGACTTTAAAAATATAGATTAATTTGGAGCAGATTATGTGAAGGTCATATATTCTAATCCTCACTTCCTGTGGGCTACAGCAACACTAAACCCCTGAGCTTGCCTGAGAAGGACTAAATGCACAAAGCTGCTATTTTTAAATATCCCATGGAGAGAGACTCTCACTGCAGCCTGTTCTATTTTGTTGTGAAAATGTGGGCGTGCAGCCTCGTTCTGTGGACGATAAACCAGGTGCAGACTTCCATCTGTGTCACCGCTGATGAGGAAATACAGCGAGTGCTGGACGGAGCAGTGAGTGACAACAACCCCGCCCACATTTAAGAGGACTGTCTGAACACACTGAGGGTCTAGGTACCATGTCTGAAGGGTTTTGGTTCAAAAGGTACCATAGCAAATGTGGTTGGTGGAAACGGAGCTTTAGTGTCGGGCTAACAGCACTTCATAATGGTGTCCTGGTGAGGTTACAGTAAGTCAGCAGCATTTTTAAAAGGCAGCAAACAGCTTGATTTCTATGATTCCTCCATCTCTGGTTTCGAATGAGCACAATCTGTCACACTACTTTTAGACTCCTGTACTGAGGAACTTCCATGACAGTTTACCACTCAGTAAAGTACTTCCTGATGGTAAAGTTGGAAAATTCCCACTCAAGAGGGCCACCTGAATGCATCATTAGTTTTGGTTTCCGTGTGGAGAGGGGAGAGAACTTATGATGACACCACGTTAGGGATCAGCATCCCTCCAATGAGGCGTGCCCTGAAATGGGACGCAGCTGTTCTCCGGCCACAATGGAGGGAAATATTTGAGGGTCTCATATCGTCTACATGGACGACAGTAACTGTATGTATGAAAAATGATGCTTAACAAAGCAGCATAGTGAAGACACAAGAGCCTGGACTCTTCTTTAACTTTTGGCAATGCACACGGAGGAGTGTAAACAAACCTGGATATTTTGGATCACAGTGTTGGTTTGAGTGACGCATCATCATCGTCACTGGAATGCTGGACTGGGATTAACGTCTTTGGCCAGACAGAAAGAAAGAGAGACAGACAGACAGAGAGGCAGAGCATGTTTGTTTCATACATGACGCATGTTTGCATAAGTGGACATTGGTTCAAAGTCTATCTTTGGATGTGTCGGAGAGACGACAGAGAGTGAGCCGTAAAGACGTTCCCATCATCTCCGCACTCTAAGAGGCGTCGTCCCCGTCTTTCTGCCCGCTGGGCTCCGCTCTCTGAGACAGGAGGAACGACTCCCACACAGCCAGGCACTGAAAGAGAAGATGCACCATCATTATCATCGCATCACAGAGGTTTTGGTGGTTTAGATGTAGATAATACAATTTAACAATATGTGTTACATAACACATAGCAGCATCATCTCTGCTGTCTCACACTCTCCGCACAGCTCCACTCACTCACTCACAAATTCTCCAGCAACACTCAGAGACACAGAGCTGCTCCTCTGTTAGTTAGTCTGTCTGTTAATTAATCTACAGTAAGACATCAGTCTATATGTTGCACGTGCTACACTAAATCTGAGATGAATGAAATGACGGCAGAAGCACACGTGAAGTCCGGCGGCGCTGCGCTGCTTCAGGGGCCGTACACACACTGCGTCTTTAGCCACCTGGAAAACACCAGGTCAGGTGCTGGGTGCTACTCTTAGATTGATATTGTTAGTAATGAAAGGAGGTGAGGTGTTGATAAAGTGTAATGATGAAAGGAGGTGAAGTGTAGGTTTAAGTGTGAGTGATGAAAGGAGATGAAGTGAAGGTTAAAGTGTAGATGTTGAAAGGAGTTGAAGTGTAGGTTAAAGTGCAAGTGCTGAAAGGAGTTGAAGTGTAGGTTAAAGTGTAATGATGACAGGAGGTGAAGTGTAGGTTAACATATAATGTTGAAAGGAGTTGAAGTGTAGGTTAAAGTGTAATGATGACAGGAGGTGAAGTGTAGGTTAACATGTAATGTTGAAAGGAGTTGAAGTGTAGGTTAAAGTGTAATGATGACAGGAGGTGAAGTGTAGGTTAACATGTAATGTTGAAAGGAGGTGAAGTGTAGGTTAAAGTGTAATGATGACAGGAGGTGAAGTGTAGGTTAACATGTAATGTTGAAAGGAGGTGAAGTGTAGGTTAAAGTGTAATGATGACAGGAGGTGAAGTGTAGGTTAACATGTAATGTTGAAAGGAGGTGAAGTGTAGGTTAAAGTGTAATGATGACAGGAGGTGAAGTGTAGGTTAACATGTAATGTTGAAAGGAGGTGAAGTGTAGGTTAAAGTGTAATGATGACAGGAGGTGAAGTGTAGGTTAACATGTAATGTTGAAAGGAGGTGAAGTGTAGGTTAAAGTGTAATGATGACAGGAGGTGAAGTGTAGGTTAACATGTAATGTTGAAAGGAGGTGAAGTGTAGGTTAAAGTGTAATGATGACAGGAGGTGAAGTGTAGGTTAACATGTAATGTTGAAAGGAGTTGAAGTGTAGGTTAAAGTGTAATGATGACAGGAGGTGAAGTGTAGGTTAACATGTAATGTTGAAAGGAGGTGAAGTGTAGGTTAAAGTGTAATGATGACAGGAGGTGAAGTGTAGGTTAACATATAATGTTGAAAGGAGTTGAAGTGTAGGTTAACATGTAATGTTGAAAGGAGGTGAAGTGTAGGTTAAAGTGTAATGATGACAGGAGGTGAAGTGTAGGTTAACATGTAATGTTGAAAGGAGGTGAAGTGTAGGTTAAAGTGTAATGATGACAGGAGGTGAAGTGTAGGTTAACATGTAATGTTGAAAGGAGGTGAAGTGTAGGTTAAAGTGTAATGATGACAGGAGGTGAAGTGTAGGTTAACATGTAATGTTGAAAGGAGGTGAAGTGTAGGTTAAAGTGTAATGATGACAGGAGGTGAAGTGTAGGTTAACATGTAATGTTGAAAGGAGTTGAAGTGTAGGTTAAAGTGTAATGATGACAGGAGGTGAAGTGTAGGTTAACATGTAATGTTGAAAGGAGGTGAAGTGTAGGTTAAAGTGTAATGATGACAGGAGGTGAAGTGTAGGTTAACATGTAATGTTGAAAGGAGTTGAAGTGTAGGTTAAAGTGTAATGATGACAGGAGGTGAAGTGTAGGTTAACATGTAATGTTGAAAGGAGGTGAAGTGTAGGTTAAAGTGTAATGATGACAGGAGGTGAAGTGTAGGTTAACATGTAATGTTGAAAGGAGGTGAAGTGTAGGTTAAAGTGTAATGATGACAGGAGGTGAAGTGTAGGTTAACATGTAATGTTGAAAGGAGGTGAAGTGTAGGTTAAAGTGTAATGATGACAGGAGGTGAAGTGTAGGTTAACATGTAATGTTGAAAGGAGGTGAAGTGTAGGTTAAAGTGTAATGATGACAGGAGGTGAAGTGTAGGTTAACATGTAATGTTGAAAGGAGGTGAAGTGTAGGTTAAAGTGTAATGATGACAGGAGGTGAAGTGTAGGTTAACATGTAATGTTGAAAGGAGGTGAAGTGTAGGTTAAAGTGTAATGATGACAGGAGGTGAAGTGTAGGTTAACATGTAATGTTGAAAGGAGTTGAAGTGTAGGTTAAAGTGTAATGATGACAGGAGGTGAAGTGTAGGTTAACATATAATGTTGAAAGGAGGTGAAGTGTAGGTTAACATGTAATGATGAAAGGAGGTGAAGTGTAGGTTAAAGTGTAACGATGAAAGGAGGTGAAGTGTTGGTAAAAGTGTGAGTGATGAAAGGAGGTGAAGTGTAGGTTAAAGTGTAAGTGCTGAAAGGAGGTGAAGTGTAGGTTAAAGTGTAATGATGAAAGGAGGTGAAGTGTAGGTTAAAGTGTAGGTACTGAAAGGAGGTAAAGTGTTGGTAAAAGTGTAAGTGATGAAAGGAGGTGAAGTGTAGGTTAAAGTGTAGGTACTGAAAGGAAGTGAAGTGTTGGTAAAAGTGTAAGTGATGAAAGGAGGTGAAGTGTAGGTTAAAGTGTAGGTACTGAAAGGAGGTAAAATGTTGGTAAAAGTGTGAATGATGAAAGGAGGTGAAGTGTAGGTTAAAGTGTAATGATGAAAGGAGATGAAGTGTAGGTTAACGTGTAAGTGCTGAAAGGAGATCAAGTGTAGGTTAAAGTGTAGGTGTTGAAAGGAGGTGAAGTGTTGGTACAAGTGTGAGTGATGAAAGGAGGTGAAGTGTAGGTTAACGTGTAAGTGATGAAAGGAGGTGAAGTGTAGGTTAACGTGTAAGTGCTGAAAGGAGGTGAAGTGTAGGTTAAATCATCATGGTCATTATCTGCTTCATAATTATAACCTTTACTGCTGCTGCACTTTAACACCATGGGCCTCAGCAGAGATGAAACAGTGGTGTGTCAGTGTCTGAAGAGCTGTCCCAAATGTTTACCCCAGCACTCCTCTCCTCTCTCTGCTTTCATCTGCCTCTTTCTTCTTCCTTTCTCTAACTCCCTTGCCATCTCATCAGCGCAGGCACATTATTGCAGCGACAGAGGCACTGACAGAGTCCCATTGTGGCTCTGTGTGTGCATGTGTATGTGTGTGAATGTGCACACATACACATGCACACACAGCAAAGAGGACTTGACAAAGCGAATCACACTTTTATGGCATAAAAGCAGTTATCTAGATAGCAGAGGCAGGAAGCCATGCAACCAGAAAGTGAAAATGGCAAGCACACACCAACAGACACGGACACACTCCAAAGCCAATCTATGAACTTGGGTTCCACTTTGTCAGCACACATCAATAAAGCACAGTCAGTTTTTCCAAGGTAATAGCCGTTTGTTTAGAGGCGGCAGTAAGTCAGAGCCTCGGCCCGTCAGCTCTCCATTTAACAGCCAATTTCTTTCACGAGCACCTGCAGCACCTTGGTAGCACTGTGGCGGCGCAGGCTGGTCAAAGAAATGAGTTCAGGAGGCAGAAATGTCATCGGTCAAGTTAAGGTACAACTGGAGGAGCCAAAGAGTCCAGTGAAAAGGAGAGTCGAGACAGAAGGAAGCTAATGCTAAGCCTAGAGCTCATGCTGCCAAAATATAAAGACTAACTTCACACCTTATACTGACTTTCCAAGAATATAACAAAACATATCACATCAAACAAAAATAAAACATCTCCCTGCTCTTATTCTCTCAAATATTATGTCTCCTTGCTGATAATAAATGTCTACTAACGTCAAGAGGGCCTGGTGACAACGTCATCACGGCAGGTCAAAGTGCAAGGGTCAGATCATGGGGCAGCTAATGCTAAAGTAAGGGAGAGTTTTGCTGGACCAGGAGCTACTGAAGAACCTGGACAGGCTGAGAAAGACCAGATATTTCCTACTACAGTTTTGGAGCTGCTTTTTTGATCCATAAAAATTTCACTGCAGGGGCATATCCATCAGGTTGTCCTTTCATAGCAGCTAATGATGGAGCGAATGACGAGCTGATGTAAAGTTAAGAGTTGCCCAGAGGATGTGAACAGACATGAAGCACACAGACAACTTGGATGTCCATCACCATTAAAAAGGAAATATTAGAAATCTTGGCGCATGCAATGCAGAGACAAATTGTGTCGAGGTAGCACACATTCTTTGGACTAATGGAAACATTGACGTAAGTACATCTGAGCAGTTTCCTGTAGCTCCTCACCCAAATTGTGCCAATAAATGTTTGTTGGAAAGACCATCTTTAGTTAGCACAATTATGGCTGGAAATGCTGCAAATTTCTTGCAAAAAAACATCCGTCTTTGGTGGCACAATGGCCACTGGAAATGCTGCCGATGCCTTGCTAAGGAACATCTGGTTTTGGTGGCACAATAACTGCTGGAAATGCTGCCAATTTCTCGATAGAAACATCTAGGTTTGGTGGCACAAACATCGCTGGAAATGCCGCAGATTTCTCACGACTAAAATCCAGTTTTGGTGGCACAATTGCCACTGCGAATGCTACTGATGTCTCGCAAAAAAGCACACAATTTTAGTGGCACAAACACCGCTGGAATTGCCGCCAATGTCTTGCTCAGGAACATCTGGTTTTGGTGGCACAAAGACTGCTGGAAATGGTGCAGATTTCTCGCTAAAAACTAGGGCTGGGTATCGATTCAGATTTTCCAGATCAATTTGATTGATTTTCAAGGACTCAGTTTGATTCAATTCACGATTCGATTCAATTCAATTCAGTTCAATATCGATTCAGTCAAGTATATTTCAATTATGATACAAAATTTGCATGGATATTAAGATATTTTCTGAGAACTAACAAAGTATATTTAACAAGGAACCCTCTGACCTGGTGCATTACTATTA